TTTAGTTTTAAGCCAGCTTTTCCTTCTCCTCTTTCACTTTCATCAAGAAGCTCTTTAGTTCCTCTTTGCTCTCTGCCATAAGTGTTGTGTCATCTCTGTATCTGAGGTTATTGATATTTCTCCCAGCAATCTTGATTCCACCTTATGCTTCATTCACCCTGGGTTTTCACATGATGTACTCTGCATGTGAGTTAGATAAGCAGGGTGACAATACACAGCTTTGAAGTACTCCTTTCCCAATTTGGAACCAGTCTGTTCCATGTCCAGTTCTAACTGTTGCTTCTTGACCTGCATACAGGTTTCTCAGGAGGCAGGCAAGGTTGTCTGGTATTCCCATCTCTTGAAGAATTTTCCACAGTTTGTTGTGATCTACACAGTCACAGTTGCTCAGTCATGTCCAACTCTTTGCAACCTCTTTGGCGATGCAGATCATGCAACTCTCTAGGACAGAATATTGGAGCGAGTTATTCCATTCTCCAGGGGATCTTCCTAACACAGGGATTGAACTCAGGTCTCCCACATTGCAGGTGGATTCTTTACCAGCTGAGCCACCAGGGAATAGGAATAAACCTTGTGTGTTCCTACAGAGCAGAAGTGGTCTTAGGCCAACTCCCCAGAGCTTGGAAAAACTAGAGGGCTGCGTGGGCTATCCAGGTATCTCATGGATTTAGGCTTTCTCTTCTGTGATATCAGAGCCAGGATGAAGGTTCTCTTCACCCCCTCCTCTACCTATTTGCTGTTGCCTAAATTCCTTTTCCCAAAGATAAGACTTTTCTTCTCTGAATATAACTGAGTATAAAAGTTTGGTGTCAGGAGAGAGGAAAAGAGAATTCACACCATGTAGGTAGCCCTACACATGAAGTCTGGGAGTCAAGCATTCTGGGTTTTTATCCTGGCTCTGCATAAAAAAGGACTGATAGTTGTATGATTACTATTTTGGTTAATACTTTCTATTCTTTTTGTCTTCTTTATTTCATTTACTCCTGCTGTAATCTTTATTGTATTCTTTCAGTGGTAACTTAGGGCTTAGTTTATTCTTCTTTTTCTAGTCCCTTAAGGTATAGAGTTAGGTTGTTCATTTGGGTTTTTCTTGCTTCTTAATGTAGGCATTTATTGCTATTCTTCCCATATTTTAGGTTCTAAATATATGAGTAATAGCGATGTAATGCATAAGATGATGACTATAGCTAAGAGTGATGTATGATATACAGGGATGTCGTTAAGAGACCAAATCTTAAAGAGTTCTCATCACCAGGAAAAAGTGTTATTCTTTTTCATTATTTTTTTTCATTGTATCTATATGAGAAGATGAATGCTAACTTGCCCCATTGTCATAATCATTTCATAATACACAGAAATCAAACTTGCCTTTAACTTATACAGTGGTGAATATCATTGTATAATTATTTCTCACTAAAAATGGAAAAAAAGAGTATTTTAAAAAGTATAAGCCATAACCATGAGAGTTGACATTTCCTAAACCCTCTGTCTGTATGAGACAATAATGAAAAGTAGCCTGGGTAGACCTACCAGCTGGAAAACATTCTCTCTTTCTTGGTGAAACACTGAGCAGTGCCCCCACTTTCCAGGAGACAGCTGCTGAGCAGAGTGGTGGGCTAAGGAGGTCAGAAAAGCTGGAGGGAAAGAAGGACTGATGTCCAGGTGGTGGAACGGCTCAGAGAAAGGCTCAGCATCGACCCAAGGGGCTACTGCTCAAGAGAAGTCCTGAATCGCGAGCCCTCCGTGTGGACTTGTGTGGGACTTGGGACTGTCACAAAATACAGACGGAGAGGAAAACTCTCATCCCTTTGCTATGGCCAGCAGGGGAAGAACCAGAACTGGAGGAGCCTGACTTCACATGAAATCTCGCTTTGCCTCTGACCAGCTGTGTGGCCCTGGAGACGTCGCACCTACGCCAAGATCCATTCACTGCATCATTCAGTATAAATCATAATTGAGTGAGATACAGTGTATAAAGATTGAATATGGGATTTCTCAACAGTGTATGACAGTAATTCAAGTGCGTAGAAGCTGACATTCATCTTGTGCTCACCAGTGTCAGACTCTGGTTAAGCATTTTCCACTCATTGACTCATTTCATCGTCACAACACCGCAACAGGGTTTTACTGTTAACTCCACTGGGCAGGTGAGAGAACTGTGGCTCTAGTAAGTTGCCTGAGATCACACAGCTGACAAAGGGCAGAGGCCAAGTGTAGCTCAGCTCTGACCAACCTCACGCCTTGTCAACAGCCCTGGTACAGCCTGAACTGAGGTCCTCTTGGGAGAGCTCAGGAGAGCTGGTCCAAGGCCCCCAGCAGCCCCAGGGGCTCAAAGGCCTCCTGAGATGACTTGGCTCTGTGAGGCAGCTTTCATCAGACAGAAGGCCCTTGAATGAAGCAGCTGCTGGTGCAGGCCTCTGTGTGGCCCTGGTCTCACTTAACCAGAGTCTCCCATGAGGACAACAGTGGTTCTTCCCTCACAGAATTGCACACAGCACTGAGATGGCTCCTCGGCAGATGGGCAAAGCTTCCCTGGGCCTCTTGGCAGGAAAGTCAGGTGCCCTCATGGAAAGGGGACCCTGAGGTGATAGCCTGGGTCAGTCCTCTGCAGAGGTGACGCAGCTGTGAGTAAGGGGTCTCTGCTCCCCATTCAAAATCAAAGGGGAAACTGAGGGCTTGCACGTTGAGGAGACAGAAGGGCCACAAGAGGAACCCCATCAGCCCTGGGAAGAAGACACCAAGGCCAGGACAGCGGGACCTGCAGGGGCTGGGGAGAGGTGGCTGAGTATGGGAGCCAGGATGTCACCTCTCTGAGCAAGCGATCCCATAGCCACGGGTTTAAAAGTAGTCCCACCAGTTGCTACACTGTGACCTTGAGGAGTCACTTGTCCTCTCTGAGCCTGTTTCCTAGTCTGTCCAGTGGGGACAAGAGCGGTGTCTCTTGGCAGAAGGGTGCTGTCAGCAAGTCATGAGGTCAGGGGTTCTGGCTAAGACAACCTTCCATCACGGCGGTGATGTAAGCAGAAACAGAGTGAGGCTGTCACTGTGTGACCTCGGGTCACTCTCTTGCAGTCTTGACAATCTTGGCAACGATGTTCTGAGGAAGCTGAAAACTGATCTTGAGAAAGGATTTGGGAACCTTGACAGTACACTTGAAAGTGATTCAACAACAGGGATGATCAGTGGCACCTAGGAGCTTGCTTCCTAAATACTATGCCTGTATTAACAAAGGCAGCCAGCAGGGGTTGCTCCTTATGGGTGGTTTACTGAGAGAGGTAACTAACTGGTTCCTGGTTCACTTGTTTATTATTTTTCTAGAAACAGGCATTACTTAATTGAATATCAATTTACATCTTATATCATGGTAAACTTTGCTAATACACTCATAGGATATATTCCTACAGGCGACTTTTTTTTTTAAAGTGACGTTTATAAAGTCCAAAAGGTATGCATATTTTAAATTACAGCACATATTGACAAATAATCTTCTATGTTAATAGTTTCTCCACTCTGAGAAGTATTTTTGAGTGAGAGTGTTTTTGTTTTTTCTCCTCTCTTGAGCACACTGGTTTGGACAACTGAAAATTGCCAGTTTCACAGATGGAAGGTTATGATTCAGCATTTCTCTAATTTTGAAAGAATTCACTCATATTTTTCACATTTTACTAGCCATTTATATATTTTGACTTAAATATTTGATTTATATTTGTAGCATTCTCTTCTGTTGAGTCATTCAATTTTCTTAGTAATTTGTATTAACTAATTGGACAAGGATTCCCACCCAGCCTAGGTGGTTTTAAAATTACCTACCTTTCTAGTGAATATTTCCTGGTAATTCTGATTTCTTGAAAGAACTTGTTTTCTTTTGACCTTTTGGAAACATTACTAGCACATTGCTAAACATTCTTAATAGAAGTTAACTGCTGAAAATGACTGCCCTTCAAAACTTTCCAGGGCTTGAGAGTGACTGAATGATAGTCGCTCAGTGGTGTCCAGCTCTTTGTGACCCCATTGCCTGTAAGCCTGCCAGGCTCTCTGTCCATGCAGTTCTCCAGGCAGGAATACTGGAGCAGTTTGCCATTTCCTTCTCCAGGGTATTGTCCTGACACAGGAATCGAACACATGTCTCCGGCACTGGAGGCAGATTCTTTACCATCTGAGCCACCAGGGGAGCCTGACAACCTGAAAGATGCAAGAGGGACCCACTTTCTAATTTCTACTGATAAACCAGAGCTCAGAAGCAGAAGCATCTGCATCAAAGTTACCTAGTAAGTCATAGGCCCAGATGTGGTTTCCATCTCTGCATCACTATAACGAAGTACTGTCCATTGCAAAGCCACGTTGCAGTACTTTGATTCCCACACTTTCTTGCAGCCCTTCCTTATTCTTTGAGCTAGTTGTTGACTTGTTGTTTTTCATTTGAATTATTGTCTAGAGAGGTTTTCTTAATACTTTTCAAATGTGAAATTCTACATGTGCCATGTCAGTTCCTCTATCAAATTCCTCTTTTCTCTGTCCATTAGGACTCCCTGTCCTTCTTCTCCTGTACAAGTATTCTCTTCCTAGGCCATATGCAAAGCTGTCATACAAGGATTCCTATTATCCACGTTCATGATTTACGTCTGTATATTGTCTTTGATTCTAGACTCCACGTTAGGAGTCTCTTGTTTTGTTTTTCACTGTGTCCCCAGTTCGCCTAGGTTCTGGGCACATAGTAAGTGTTCTCTAAATGTGTGTTGACGAATGAATGGATGACTAGATGGATGGATGGATGGATGGAAGGGTGGACGGAAGAATGAGGTCTCAGGGTTGTGGTGGGACTCTCATGAGCTATTGGTGTGGGCTGCTGGTCAACCATGGGGTTCTAAGTGATGATCGCCCTGGATAGAGGCTCAAGTCACCTGACTTCAAGGTGCTCCACCTTCCACCCTCTTGCCACTGCTCTTGCTTGGCTGCTCAGCCAACTTCATGAAGCTTTATCAATTTCCTCTCTTTTCCAGTCACATTGGTCTACTCAATGAGGCTGTGGACTTTGTGATCAACCTCGTGAATGAAGTGTTGTCCCTGGTAACACACTATGAGGTGAGTCCCCCACTGCTGGGTGTGCAGAGCCAAGCCTGGTGGGGGCAGGAGTGACTTTCTCCCGGTAGATTCTACTCTCTGGGCACCTTCCCTTCTGGGGGGTCAACTTCTCTTTGGGTTGTGAGTTGCTACCTGCCCCTCATCGCTCACCCTGCTCTGAGGAAAAGGTGAGCAGGGACCCAACTTGAGTTGAAATCACTGGGTCCCTCACTTGAACCACTTACCATACCCATGGACTTCCAGCAGGAATTTTAGATAATATTTTTCTTCATTCAACACAAATTTAATTCATTTAAATACAAAAAGCATACATACCGTAGATCAGCTTTATGTGTATCATATAAAAATACCATATGTACCATGTGCCCAAAATTCCAAGGATTCTATAATAGTCACTCGGGAAGGGGCTGGGAATCTGGCTTTATTTAAAAAAAAAATCCTCCATGTTGTTCTGTGATTTACTGAACTTGAGTCATGATCAAAGTGTGTTCCTCTCAGACCAGCAGCACTGACCTACCATGGACACTGTTTAGAAATGCAGACTCTCAGGTCCTACCCCAGACCTGCTGCTCAATAATTCACATTTTAACATCCTCAGGGAATTGTAAGTACATAAAATTGTGAAAAATACAAAACCATTTCTCTATAGTTCCCAGGGCCCCATTTAACTCTATAAAGTTTCTGAGTCCAGAGGTCAAGGTTTCTAAGGGCATAAGATTATGGAATGTTAAAAGCCTAGATTCTCTAAGGTTCTAGGAGTCTAATATTCTGAGGCTTTAGGATTCTTGTGACTTCTGGCTCTCAGATTTGGGTCTTCTAACTTTCCACGGTTCTAGAATCCTAAGGGTCAGATGTTGTAAAGCCCCCAGTACTGAGCATCTCTGGGTGAGGGGAAGGGTGCTCACAGGAGATAGTAATCAGTCCTCTTCCTTCTCTGTCTCTCCTCTCTCTCCTCACCTCCCGACCTCTTTCCTTCCTTCCCTCTCCCCATTCCTCTGTGTCTCTCTTTCCCTCCTTGTCACCCTCAGGTGTGCCCAGTAATCCGCAGCCTCCCTGAAAACCTGGATGCTGATTATGTTAAGAACCTCATCTGTGAGTCACAGCCTGGGGAGGCAGGGAGGGGGCTCCCTCTTCAGCCTCACAGGGGGCGCACACTGCTCTATGCCTGCAGCGCTGGCAGGTCTGGTCAGGGGACCCCGGAGAAGCTGAGGACCCTTCGTCCTGAGTAAGTCTGCAGGCTATAGAAGAGTCCCCACGGACTGATGGCCTCTGTGGGCCCCTGAGAACTTCTGCTGCCCTCCTTTGTCAAACCGGTAGAACCTGCTGCCCAGAATGATGTGAGAAAGAGGACAGACCAGATCTGGGTTCAAATCTTGAATCTTCTACTTAACAACTGTGGGGTGGGGGTCAACTGGCTCCACCTCTCTGAGACTCGGGTTCATCCTAGGTGAAAGGAGATTGTAAACACGGCCGAGGTGAGGAATGTACTTAAAGAAAAAGCAGAAAAATCCTAATATCCAGTAGGCATTGATGATAAATACCATCCCTTCCCTGTCCCTTCTTATGAGGAGCTATGGGTTTACCTCCAGCCGCTGGGGGCTTTCCTCGACCTGCGTCTCTGGCACAACTGAGGTTGCTGGGACCGTGGGGCAAAGAAATGGGGTGAGTGACAGGTCAGGGTCCTGAATGCAGTCCTTCTAGAAAACAGCCACAGGCCCAGTTCTTGGGTGACCGTTCTGTGCTTCCTGTTCACCACTTCACTGGACCCTTGCAACAATCCTGTGGGGGTGGGCAGTGTCATCATGCCCATTTTGCAGGTCATCTAACTGAGGCTCAGAGACATGGAGTGGCATGTGAGTGGTCCCATGCCTGTCAGTCTGGGAACTGAAAGGGAACAGACTGGGAACAGACTGGGAACCACTGGTGTCTGATTTCTATTCAGCTCTCCAGAGCTGGAGGCTGAAAACTGCTACTGCTTTCTTCTTTCAGGTGAACTTTGGGAAGCCCAACAGGAACCGTGAAGGGCACAGATGAGGAAAACTGCTGCGATGCCCGCCTGCTGGTGAGGACTGGGCTCGGGGCCCTGGGCTGAGGGAGGATGAGATTCCCACAGGGGCCCGTGGAGAAGCGGAAACAAGCTTGGCTTCTCTCCTTTCTCTAGTGGAAGACTGAGCCCTGATCTTGGTCGTGGACCGAGTCCTGACCCTTAATCACACACCCAGACGGCACTTGATTCTGCTCCCTGACTGAGCCTGGAACAGTCAGGCTGAGCTTTGACTCCAGTCATTGACTGAGCCCTGACACTGCTCACGGTTAGAATCTGACCTGCATCTCAGTCTGATCCCTGATCCTGATCATATGCTGCGCCCTGAACCCTGGCTCCCCTTGGCCCTGATCAGTCTTTTCACATTGGCCATTGTTGCTAAGGTGAGGGGGTGGGAGGGTGAGGGGATGAGAAGGGGTCAGTGCCAGGTGCCAGAGAAAGACCCCAAGCCACAGGTGCCAGTCCCTCCCCAAGCCTGAGAGCCGCAGGGTTCGGGGTGAAGCACTCCTGCAGCCGTGCCTGGTGAACGCAGGAGCCGGTAGGTAAGGGCCCTGGCGGCTCTGTGACTGACACCAGGTCTCCTTCCAGGTTGAACCTCGACTGAATCTCTGAACCGTCTCCCTCTGGGACGGTCCGTGCTGCCAGCATCCATCAGGAGGGACAACTGAGCCCAGTCAAGGGCACTCTCAGAGAGCCCTCCCCGCAGTCAGGACACCCTGCACTCAGCACCCTCCACCCCCAGCAATGAAAGGCCATTTCTGCACCTCCTGCGTGGCCCATGGCATTCCTTCCTTTAGGATTTCAGGGATGGCGAGGGACGGGCAATCAGGGCAGTGGAGAACTGGATCTCCATTGGAAAGGTGGAAGGGACTTTCGGGATTATCCAGCTGCCACTTATTGTCTTACTAATGGGAACAGTGAGGCCCACGATGGGCAAGAAAGTGACCTGAATCACACAGCGACAGCCGCACTCTGCTTCTGCTAACACCACCACCATGATGGAGCGCTGTCTTCACCAGGACACCTGACCTCATGACTTCATGACAGCACCCTTCTGCCAGGAGACACCACTCTTGTCCCCACCGACAGATTAGGAAACTGAGGCTCAAAGAGAACAAGTGACTCCTCAAGGTCACAGGATAGCAACTGGCAGGACCAGGATTTAAACCCATGGCTATGGGATCCCTTGCTCAGAGAGGTGACATCCTGGCTCCCATACTCAGCCACCTCTCCCCAGCCCCTGCAGGTCCCACTGTCCTGGCCTTGGTCTCTTCTTCCCAGGGCTGATGGGGTTCCTCTTGTGGCCCCTCTGTCTTCTCAACACGCAACCCCTCAGTTTCCCCTTTGCCTTGGGATGAGGAGCAGAGACCCCTTACTCACAGCTGCGTCACCTCTGCAGAGGACTCACCCAGGCTATCACCTCAGGGTCCCCGGGCCTCTCCTTTCCATGAGGGCATCTGACTTTCCTGCCAGCAGGCCCAGGGAAGCTTTGCCCGTTTGCTGAGGAGCCATCTCAGTGATGTGTGCAATTCTGTGAGGGAAGAACCACTGTTGTCCTCATGGGAGACTCGGGTTAGGCAAGACCAGGGCCACACAGAGGCCTGCACCAGCGGCTGCTTCACTCCAGGGTCTTCTGTCTGATGAAGGTTGCCTCACAGAACCAAGTCATCCAGGAGGCCTTTGAGCCCCTGGGACAGCTGGGGGCCTTGGACCAGCTCTTCTGAGCTCTCCCAAAGGACCTCAGTTTGTGCTCAAAAAATGTTAATTATTTACATGTATTCCCCATCCCGATCCCCCCTCCCACATCCCTCTACCCGATCCCTCTGGGTCTTCCCAGTGTACCAGGCCTGAGCACTTGTCTCATGCATCCAACCTGGGCTGGTGATCTGTTTCACCATAGATAATACACATGTTTCGATCCTGTTCTCTCGAAACATCTCACCCTCGCCTTCTCCCAGAGTCCAAAAGTCTGTTCTGTACATCTGTGTCTCTTTTTCTGTTTTGCATATAAGGTTATCATTACCATCTTTCTAAATTCCATATATATGTGTTAGTATCCTGTAATGTAACTTATCTTTTTGGCTTACCAAAGGACCTCAGTTCAGGCTATGCTGGGGCTCCTGACACACGTATGATGAGACGTTGGTCAGAGTTGAGTTTGACTACCCTCTGCCCTTCAATAGCCTTGTGACATCTGGCAACTTACTACTAGAGCCACACTTTTCTCACCTGCCCAGGAGAGTTAACAGCAAAACCTCCCGTTGCAATGTTGTAACAATTAGAGACAATGAGTGGAAAATGCTTAACCCGAGTCTGACACTAGTGTGTACAAGATGAATGTCAGCCTCGACACGCTGGAATTACTGTCAAACGATGTTGAGAAAACCCATATTCAATCTTTATACATTATATCTCACTCAATTCTTATTCATACTGAGTGATGCAGTGAAGGATCTTGGTGTGGGTGTGGCAACTGAGTCTCAGAGAGGGAAAGTGGGTTCTCCAGGGCCACACAGCTGGTCAGAGGCAAAGCTGGATTCCATTTGAAGTTGGCCTCCTCCAGAACTGGTTCGTCACCTGCTGGGTGAGTTTCCTTCTCTGTCTGTATTTTGTGACAACCCCAAGTCCCACAGAGGTCCACAGGAGGTCTCGCGATTCAGGACTTCTCTTGAGCAGAAGCCCACTTTGGTCATTGTTGAGCCTTTGTCCAGGCTGTTCCATCCCTCTGGAACATCATTCCTTCTCTCCCTCCAGCTTTTCAATCCCCTTAGCCCACCACACTGCTCAGCAGCCATCTCCTGCTAAGTGGGAGCCCCTGATCAATGTTTTCCCAAAAAAGAGATCATGTTTTCCACCTGGTAGGTCTTCCCAAGCTACCTTGTCATTATTGTCCCGTACAGACAGAGGGCTCAGTAAATGTCAGCTCTCATGATTATGGTTCACACTTTTTTTAATACTCTTTCTTTCCATTTTTTAGTGGGAAATAATTGATATTCATTACTGTATAAATTAAAGGCAAGTTTTATTTCTGTGTATTATGACAATGGGTTAAGCTAGCATTCATCTTCTCATATAGATACAATAAAAAATAATGAAAAAGAATGACACTTATTCCTTGTGATGAGAACTCTTAAGATTTGCTCTCTTAACAATGTTCCTGTATATCATACACCACTGTTAGCTATATTCAACATGCTATACATTACATCATTAGTACTCGTTTGTTTGGAACCCATTTTATGAGGAAGAAGAGCAATAAATGCCTACATTAAGCAGTAAGAAAACCCAAATGACCTAACTCTATACCTTAAGGGACTAGAAAAAGAAGAATAAACTAAGCCCTAAGTTACCACTGAAAGAATACAATACTGATTACAGGATGAGTAAATGAAATAAAGAAGACAGAAAGAATAGAAAATATTAACCAAAATATTAATCAAATTACTATTGGTCCTTTGAAAATGTAAAAGAAATGGAAAAGTCCTGGGCTAGATCTCACGAATTACAAGCGGGCTTTAGGTCTTCGCATGTTTCCTGGGTCTGCTTTGTCCTCAAAGATAAAATTTAGACACAATTAAATGGAAAAGTTCACTAGAAAATGAAGCTATAAAAGGGGATGAGACAGTGTATCATTTTAATGCCTGAAGTCCTCCCTGCCACAAACATTCCAGCTCAAATTCTCTACTTGCTTCCTATTTCTTTATTTTTGTTGAAGCCAGTTTGACTCGGATCCTGCCATTCAAATTCACAGGAAATCCTGACAAGATATTTGTAGACTCATGTCTTCCTCCTCCATTCTGACATCTACTCAAGGGTCACTCAACCACATTGGAAACATAACAGACCTCAAAGGCACAGGAGAGCTTAGAGGTCATCATTTTCACCTCTTTGCTTGAAATTCTAGGGAGACGGTGGCCCAGAGAAGGAGAAGGACTCATCTAAGGCCACATGTGACTTGAACGCCACTTACTTTCCCCTTTCTCTTCACATATTTTAGATTTCTGTAATTATCTACTAGGGTAATAGCCTTTTACCAAAAAACCTAAAC